CCCCCCGGGGCTGATCCCGAGCACAGGCCCCAGGGATCCTCTGCACACAAACCTCTGAGTCCGAGGTGTTTCCCAGGAACCCGACACGTGACCGTGAGAATCAGGCGTAGTGGACCATGCAGTGTGGCTCAGTGGTTGGAGTGTTGGCCTGAGCACCAAATGGTCTCGGGTTTGATTTCCGGTCAAGGGCATGCACTTCAGGTGCAGGTTCAATCCCCGGCCCTGACTGGGGTGCATACAAGAGGCAATCGATAGATGTGTCTCTCACATCGATGTTTCTCTCTCTCCCCCTCTCTTCCTCCCGTCTGCCTCCTCTAAAAATCAATGGAAAAATATCCTATGTGTAAAAAAGAGCCTATGTGTAAATATTCTCTGTATTAGGGCTAACAAAAGGCATTAGACGTTTAAAAAGTTTGGGCGGAGGCCTCTCACAAGGTCTTCCCTATTTTGATTGCCTTACCTTCTGACTTGACGGCATTAAAAAGGCCAAAGGGATGAGCCTGCCCGTGGCTTCCATCCTTGCAAGGGGAGGGAAGCCTGAGGGCCAGTGGCTTTTACACCCCGTTTCACCTGCCTGGTTCCACAGGCCTCCCAGTGACCTTCAGGGCAGAGTGTCCGTGTGAGCACCTAAGGGGTAGATTTGTGACCCGCTCACTATCGGCATCCTCCACGGAGTGTTTGCTCCCCTCCCCTGGTTCCCGGAGGCCCCGTGGGTAACCCCAGCTAAAGCTATTCATGGGGAGCCTCCAACACCTGGCACGGGGTGGGCACTGAGGAATTCCTCCTGGCACGGATAGGAATCGGGCCTTTGCCTGTGACATGTTCAGATCACTGAGGGGAGAACATCACTGCCCTTCTCTAAACACTGAAGCCTGTGGGGTCCAAAGAATCAAGCTGGGAGGTGGCCCCTGGGAGGTGGTCACTCTGATGTTGCCAGGCTGCTGGCCGTGAGGCAGGAGACACAGGGTGGAAGAAGTCTGGGCCAGGGCCAGGTTCAGTTCTGGGAACTTCTAGCTGGTTATGTCCAGAGAGCCTGAGGCAGGTGAATTAAAACCCTCAGACACTGTTTTACAGGTGAGAGGAAGGAATCCTGACGCCCAGACCCCTCGCTGGGCTCTGCAGTGTTGGGGTTGCAGAGGGCGCAGGCCTACGCTGACCCGGGGCAGGTTTACGGGGTTCACCTTCGGGACAGTCAAGCAGGACCGTCCGCCGTGGAGTAGCTGGAAGGGAGCGGATGACTCCCGGGAAGGAGAGGAGCCTGAACGAAGGCCGCCAGCTTCGGAAGATTAGCTGGGGCCGAGACAGGAAACGCCCTAAGATCAGTGTGAATCCTTCGGGGGCTGGAGAGGTTTTATTTCCTACCTCACTCTCCTTAGACTGCAAGAGGACATCACAGGCTGGTTGCCAAGTCCCAGCGCGGGCAATACACCAATTTAAGAACATCTGTAACTAACAACAAACATACACGAGGCGGCGAGGGTTGTTTTCAATACTGCGTTTATTCAAAAGTACACAAACACGTTACACAGCACACACTACAAACACTATAAAACTTGCCTTGAATATAAAACACTCTGCTAAGAAAGAAATACTGCTCGTGAAGATGTTTATGCCCACCCGAGTCAGAGACCCTCGTTTACATCACAGAAGCATGGAGGCAGGGAATCAAAGTCAGCATAAAACTGGCAATCGTCACAGTACCGGAGGTTGGGGTAGTAGCCAGCGGTTATGGCTGTGGCCGCCGTGATCTTGTCCTGGGTGACCATGGAAGGATGATTTTTTACAGCCAAACAAGTAGGTGGATTTGGAGAGCTTAAGAAAAGACAGACACACATGTGGGATGAGAACTTCCTTCTTAGTCCACTGGTCACAACCGTCAGGGGTTTCTGGGAAGCTGAGGGCTGGAGCCAAACACGGGACACCGGCCTCAGGTGGACGCTTCCTGCCCCGGCCCCCACTCGTCCAACTCCTTCGTCTCCTGATCACTAGAGACGCAGTCAGGTTACAGCCCGTAAGGGGGAGGGGACTGTGCGTGTGGATGGCCCAGCTGATCGCTGTGGGCCCCTAAATGCAGAGCAC